ACTGTACGACCACGCCCTAGGCCATGCCACTGCCCTGACTGTCTGCTTGACAGCACTCTGCGTTCCCAGTGGCAGACCCGTGATGCGCACGCTCGCTTTGCTATTCGCAACTCCCTGCCGCTAGACGAGCGCGAGCACTTCGGCCAGTGCAAGACTGCTAGGACCTCTCACCGCTGTAGTTGACCGCTACTCCTCGCCAGCTTCTGCCACGCTAGGCCGCCTCACTCTCCCCTACCTGTTCCCTGACCTAGCCTCCTTTCACACTGTCGCAGACCTCATCACCCACCTTAAGACTAGTGAGGCCCGCTTTCGCGCTGCTATGCCTGCCGAGTTTCTCACTAGCAACCCCCCCCCCGCTCTGGATCACTCTCTACCACGTTGTCACCCGCCTTCCTGACTCTCTGCGCGCAGTCAGGGACCACTTCCTCTCTCGCTCCCCCACTGAGCTCACTGTTGCCCTCCTCGAGAAGGAACTGCTTGCAGCTGAGGCGAGCATCGTCGCTGTAGGCACCTCTCGTGGCGACCCCCGCACCCCGTTCTTTGAGGGGTGTTCCCCTTCCCCCCTCCTCCCCTCTGTCGCCTCTGCTGCTGCTGTCGACCTTCTTGGTGCTGAGAAGGTCGGGACCGCGTCTGCTTCGAGTGGGCGCCGCAGGAACAAGGGGGGCAGGGGTGGGGGTGGCGGCGGAGGAGGTGGGGGTGGAGGCGGTGGGAGTGGAGGCGCGGCTGGGGAGACTAGTGGCGGCAGTGGGGGAGGAGACAGCAGCGGTGGGAGTGGTGGTGGAGGCGGCAGCGGAGGCGGAGGTGGTCGTGGCGGCGGCAGGGGTGGAGGTGGCCGGGGCGGCGGCGGTGGGGGTGGTGGTCGTGGAGGCACTGGCGGAGGGCAGAGTCAGCAGCCCGCCCCGACGCTTCAGGCCGCCCGTGAGTGGTATGCGCAGCGTAGCTTTACCTGCACGTACGTCATTCGCACAGGTGACCGCAGCGGCCAGCAGTGTGGGAGGCCGCACCCCACGCAGCGGTGCTTCGCGCGCCTTAACGACGCATGGCGCACTCAGTTTCCTGCTGCCACTGAGCTGCCGCGCTGGGCTGATCTGGAAAAGAGGGGTGTTGATATTTGGGCTTTAGACTTTGATGCTATTCTCACTGCCATGTATGCCATGTCTATTAGTGGAGAGGGTGCTCAGTACTTGCGTGTTCCGCCCGACCCGGGCATTCAGGCCAGTCCGGCTGCCGCTCTAGGTGCTAGTGCGTCTGCTCCCACAGGTCCTGGTGAGGCCGCTGCCCTAGGTGCTCGTGCGTCCGTGCCCCCTGGTACTGAGTCGACTGCAGCACTGCACACCTTCACACTGGACTCAGGTGCTTCTCGCTCCTTCTTTCGTGACCGCACTGTCCTTGAGCCACTCGCTCGGCCAGTTGCTGTCTCCCTTGCTGACCCCTCTGGGGGTCCGGTCATTGCGACCTCCTCCACTGTCCTTCCTTGTCCGGCGGTCCCGTCCGGCACGCTGTCAGGTCTCTACCTCCCCTCGTTCTCTACGAACTTGGTGGCAGGTAGTGCGCTCCAGGACGGAGGTGTTCACCAGTTCACCCCTGCCTACGAGCGCGTGACACACTGCACGTGTGCTCGGACGGGTCGCCACCTGGCTACCTTCACTCGGGAGCCGGGGTCGGACCTTTACACACTGACCACTGAGTCCCCTCAGGTAGCTGCGTCTGCGTCTGCGTCAGGTCAGCTGTCCGCCCCCTGCTCGTGTCGCTCTCTGGCGCATGAGACTGTCCTTTGGCACCACCGCCTTGGTCACCCGTCTGTGCAGCGCCTTCGGGCCATGCACAAACGGGACCTTGTTGCTGGTCTTCCCAGGGTGCTCCCTCCCCTTCCCGACTCGCCTGCTCCTCCCTGTATTCCCTGTGTCGAGGGACGGCAGCGCGCCGCTCCTCACTCCTCCTCCTTTCCCCCGACGACTGCTCCCTTGCAGACGCTCCACATGGACGTGTGGGGCCCAGCCCGCGTCCGTGGTCAGGGTCAGGAGAGGTACTTCCTGATTGTTGTTGACGACTTCTCGCGCTACACCACGGTCTTCCCCTTGCGCGCCAAGGGTGACGTCCCTGATGTCTTGATCCCTTGGATCCGCAGATCTCGTCTCCAGCTCCGTGAGCGTTTCCGCTCCGACTTCCCTGTCCTGCGTCTGCACTCTGACAGAGGTGGGGAGTTCTCCTCTGGCCTATTGGAGGCCTTCTGTCAGCAGGAGGGCATTGAGCAGTCGTACACGCTTCCGGCCTCTCCACAGCAGAATGGGGTTGCTGAGCGCCGCATTGGTCTGGTCATGGAGGTCGCTCGTACCTCCTTGAGCCATGCGGCTGCCCCCCATTTTCTGTGGCCGTTTGCAGTCCGATACGCTGCGCATCAGCTCAACCTCTGGCCCCGTGTCTCCTTGCCCGAGACTTCTCCGACACTGCGTTGGATGGGAGAGGCTGGCGATGCGTCGCGTTTTCGGGTCTGGGGATCCCGAGCTTTTGTCCGCGACACGTCCGCGGACAAGCTCTCCCGTCGTGCTGTCCCCTGCGTCTTCCTTGGCTTTGTCCCGGACGCCCCTGGCTGGCAGTTCTACCACCCCACCTCGCGTCGTGTCCTGGCCTCTCAGGACGTCACTTTTGACGAGTCCGTCCCCTACTACCGCCTCTTCCCCTACCGCACTGCCCCGCTCCCCCCCCCGCCTCTCTTCCTCGCTCCAGGTGCTGAGGTACCAGACCCCCTCCCCCCTCAGGGTGCCGCTCCCTCAGGTGTGTCCCAGGTAGACCCGGGTGAGCCTGTCGAGGTAGCTGTTGACTCTCGTCCTGCTAGGGGTGCTGAGCCTGGGGGTGCTGCGTCTGGGGGTGCTGAGCCTGGGGGTGCTGCGTCTGGGGGTGCTGAGCCTGGGAGTGCTGAGTCTGGGGGTGCGGAGCCTGGGGGTGCTGAGCCAGGAGGTGCGGAGCCTGGAGGTGCTGAGCCTGGGGGTGCTGCGTCTGGGGGTGCTGAGCCTGTGCGTGCTACACCTGGAGGAGCCCTCTCCTCCCAGCAGCTGCAGGAGAGGTACCTCGAGTACTGCCGCCTCCGGAGAGGTGCTGCTGGAGCTCGTTCCGGTACTTCCCCTCCTACCCAGGAGCTCCCCCCCATTCAGCAGATCTGCGAGTGGTACACACGGCGCTGCAGTCTTCGGAGTGGTGCTCCTGGTGCTGCGGACCCTGGGGGTGGCGCTGCTGCTGGTGCTGAGGACCCGGACGTGGGAGCTGCTACTGGTGCTGCGGACCCGCCTGGTGGAGCTACTGCTGGTGCTGAGGACTCGGACGTTGGAGCTGCTGCTGGAGCTGAGGACCTGGGCGGTGGCGCTGCTGCTGGTGCTGAGGACCCGGACGGTGGAGCTGCTGCTGGTGCTGAGGACTCGGACGGTGGAGCTACTGCTGGAGCTGAGGACCCGAGCGGTGGCACTGCTACTGCTGCTGAGGACCCGGGCGTTGGAGCTACTACTGGTGCTGAGGAGTCTCCTCTGCTTCCGGAGACGTTGTGCAACCGCGACCGTACTTCGTACCGCTCCTTCAGCAGGTTCTTGGGCAGGCTCCTCCTCCTTGTCCTCCTCCCTCCGTAGACTGTCCTCCGCCTGTCCAGCCGCAGTCACAGTTACCACCTACCTCGCCTCTCCCTGCTCCCTCTCCGTACACTGGTCCCACAGGAGGTCTTACAGAGCGTCGTGAGCCTGAGTCTCGTCCTGCGTCGCCTGTTCGTCCTGCTCGCACTGGTAGTCGTGTCCGTCGTGAGCGTCCTCCTCCTGTCCCAGGCACTCACTACATGACTCTGCGTCCCTCTACTGCTCCTCAGCGTGTCCCTCTACCGTCTCCTCCTGCGTCTTCTTTGCCTCACGTTCCGGACCCTGAGTCTGACCGGTACCGTGCTGAGCACCCTACTGTCACGCGTCTCCTCGCTACTGTTGTCACTGACCCTACCTTTGAGTCCTCGACTGCGTCTGCTCTGGTCGCTGAGTTGGTTGACTTTGCTGCTGCCTGTCGTCTAGACTACGCTGCGAGCCTTGTTGCTGAGTCTGAGTCTGAGTCTGTCTGTCCTCCGTCCGTCGGGGGTGAGTGTGCTCTTGGCACGGACGTCCTTGAGGACAGACAGGAGGAGTTCCAGTGTCTTGCTGCTGCTTTGCCCTGTCTCGTGTCCTTGCTAGTTGCCCCTGAGGGAGACCCGGATGCACCAGACATCCCGACCCCGCGCACTTACGCTGAGGCGATGGCGGGTCCCTACTCCTCTCAGTGGCAGACAGCCATGGACGCCGAGATGGCCTCCTGGAAGTCCACACGCACCTACGTCGACGAGGTTCCCCCTCCTGGGGCGAACATCGTCAGTGGCATGTGGATTTTCAGGGTGAAGCGGCCGCCGGGTTCTCTGCCTGTCTTCAAGGCGCGTTACGTGGCTCGAGGCTTCAGTCAGCGAGAGGGAGTTGATTTCTTCCAGACCTTCTCCCCCACCCTGAAGATGACTACTCTTCGGGTGCTGCTGCACATAGCCGCTCACCGCGACTACGAGCTTCACTCACTTGACTTCAGCACTGCTTTCTTGCAGGGCAGCCTGCACGAGGAGATCTGGCTGCGCCGCCCACCTGGCTTCACTGGGTCGTTTCCTCCTGGTACCCAGTGGAGGCTTCAGCGGCCGGTCTACGGTCTCCGCCAGGCTCCGCAATTTGGTCCAGTGGACTGGGTGGACCAATCGACCTGATAGTCCAGTGGACCAGGTGGACCAACCGGTAAGTTGGTCTAGTGGACCGGGTGGACGAACTAGCCTGCTAGTTATGTGGACCTGGTGGACCAACCTGCCTGTTGGTCCAGTGGACCAGGTGAACGAACCGGCCTGCTGGTCAAGTGGTCTGGGAAGACCAACCGGACTGTTGGTCTAGTGGACCAGGTGGACCAACCAGCCTGCTCTTCTAGTGGACCGGGTGGACCAAACGGCCTGCTCGTCTAGTGGACCGGGTGGACCAACCGGCCTGCTCGTCTAGTGGATCGGGTGGACAACCGGCCTGCTGGTCTAGTGGACCGGGTGGACCAACCGGCCTGCTGGTCCAGCAGACCGGGTGGACCAACCGGCCTGTTGGTCCAGTGGACCGGCAGGACCACCCGGCCTATTGGTCGAGTGGACCGGTAGACCAACCGTCCTGATGGTCTTGTGGACCGGGTGGACAAACTGGCCTGATGGTCCAACCCGCGTGCTGATCAAGTGGACGGGGTAGTCCAACCGGCCTGTTGGTGTAGTGGACCGGGTGAACAAACCGGCGTGTGGTCCAATTGACCGGGTGGACCAATCGGCCTGTTGGTCGAGTGGACCGTCTGGATCAATCTGCCTGTTGGTCTAGTGGACCGGCTGGACCAACCGGCTTCTTGGTCCAGTGGACCGGCTGGACCAATCAGCTTGTTGGTCCACTGGACCGGGTGGACCAATCGGCTCGGTGGTCTTGTGGACCGGGTGAACAAACCGGCCTATTGGTCCAATGGAACGGGTGGACCAACCGACGCTTTGGTCCATTGGACTGGGTGGACCAACCGGCCTGTTGGTCCAGTGGACCGGTTGGACCAACCGGCCTGCTGGTCAAATGGACCAGCTGGACCAACCCGCCTGCTGGTCAAGTGAACCGGGTAGACATACCTGCCTGTTGGTCCAATGGACCGGCTGGACCAACCTGCCTGCTGGTCAAGTGGACTGGGTAGACCAATCGGTCTGTTGGTCCAGTGGACCGGGTGAACGAACCGGCCTGTTGTTCAAGTTGACCAGGTGGACCAACCGGCTTGTTGGTCCAGTGTCCGGCTGGACCAACCGGCCTCCTGGTCCAGTGGACTGGATGGACCTACTGGCTTGTTGGTCCAGTGGACCGGTTGGACCAACCGGCTTTCTGGTCTAGTAAACCGGGTGGACAATCCTGCCTGTGGTCCAATTGACTTAAAGGACCAATTGATATGCTCGTCAAGTGGACCGGGTGGACCAATTGGCCTGTTAGTCTAGTGGACCGGCTGGACCAACCGACCTGTTGGTCTAGTGGACCGGCTGGACCAACCGGCCTGTTGGTCCAGTAGACCGGCTGGACCAACCGGCTTGCTAGTCCACTGGACTGGAAGGACCTGTTGTGTGATGCTATCATTCGCATTCACGTCTGTCTGCCTCCCATCATATGTTCGTGCGTTGCATGCGTGGTGTGAGCGTGTGCAAGAATTTGTGTTTTGCGCGGTTTGTTTTGTGTTTGTTTGTGTTTTACCTGGTTTAGTGCAACTCTAATTCTCTTGTGTAAACTTGTGAGAACTATTGTGATTCAGTTAAGCATGTGGCAGCATACCCCCTAGTGCGCCGAAAATCATAACTCGAGATTTACTCCACCATTTGATACGATTCAAATTGGGAAAGATAGCCCTGGTTACAGACGATTCTAACATTGCAATTTTAGCCGACGACGTTTCTTGTGAAGTAGCGGTTCCTGTCCAGAATTTGAAGCCAACGATTTTGAGAAATTTGGGCACCTATTCTTCATAGACTCGGTCCTTAACATCTAACAGGACCAACCGGCCGAATGGTCCTGTGGACCGGGTGGACGAAACAGCTCGTTGGTCCAGTGGGCCGGATGGACCAACCGGCCTGTTGGTCTAGTGGACCGGGTGAACCAACCGGCCCGTTGGTCCAGTGGATTGGGTGGACCAACCTGCCTTTTGGACCAGTGGACCGGATGGACCAACCGGCCTGCTAGTCCAGAGGACCGGGTGGACCAACCGGCCTGCTGGTCCAGTGGACCGGGTGGACCAACCGGCCTGTTGGTCCAGTGGACCGGGTGGACCAACCGGCCTGCTGGTCAAGTTGACCGGGTGGACCAACGGGCCTGCTCGTCTAGTAGACCGGGTGGACCAACCGGCTTGCTCTTCCAATGGACCGGGTGGACCAACCGGTCTGTTGGTCCAGTGGACCGGGTGGACCAATCGGCTTGTTGGTCCAGTGGACCTGGTGGACCAATCGGCTTGTTGGTCCAGTGGACCGGGTGGACCAACCGGCCTGCTCGTGCAGTGGACCGTGTGGACCAACCGGCCTGCTAGTCCAGATGATTGGGTGGACCAATAGGCCTGTTGGTCCAGTGGACCGGGTGGACCAACCGGCCTGCTGGTTCAGTTGACCGGGTGGACCAACCGGCCTGTTGGTCCAGTAAACCGGGTGGACCAACCGGCTTGTTGGTCTAGTGGACCGGGTGGACCGACCGCTCTGCTATCCCAATGGCCTGGGTGGACAAACCAGCCTATTGGTCCAGTTGATCTGGTGGAGCAACCGGCTTTCCAGTCCAGTGGACCGGGTGGACCAACCGGCCTGTTGGTCCAGTGGACCGGGTGGACCAACCGGCCTGTTGGTCCAGTGGACCGGGTGGACCAACCGGCTTGCTCGTTCAGTCAACTGGGTGGACCAACCGACCTCTTGGTCTAGTGGACCGGGTGGACCAACCGGCCTCCTCGTCAAGTGGAGGGGGTGGATCCATTGGCCTGTTGGTCCAGTGGACCGGGTGGACCAACCGGCCTGCTAATCATGTTGACAGGGTGGACCAACCGGCCTGCTCGTTTTGTAGACCGGGTGGACCAACCGGCTTGCTCTTCCAATGGACCAGGTGGACCAACCGGTCTGTTGGTCCAGTGGACCGGGTGGACCAACCGGCCTGTTGGTCCAGTGGACCGGGTGGACCAATCGGCTTGTTGGTCCAGTGAACCGGGTGGACCAGCCGGCCTGCTCGTGCAGTGGACCGTGTGGACCAACCGGCCTGCTAGTCGTGAGGATTGGGTGGACCGATAGGCCTGTTGGTCCAGTGGACCGGGTGGACCAACCGGCCTGCTGGTCCAGTGGACCGGGTGGACCAACCGGCCTGTTGGTCCAGTAAACTGGGTGAACCAACCGGCTTGTTGGTCTAGTGGACAGGGTGGACCAACCGGACTGCTAGCCCAGTGGCCTGGGTGGACCAACCAGCCTGTTGGTCCAGTTGACCTGGTGGAGCAACCGGCTTTCCAGTCCAGTGGACCGGGTGGACCAACCGGCCTGTTGGTCAAGTGGATAGGGTGGACGGATAACCGGCCTGTTGGTCCTGTGGACCGGGTGGACCCACTGGCCTGTTGGTCCAGTGGACCGGGTGGACCAACCGGCCTGTTGGTCCAGTGGACCGGTCGGACCAACTGGCCTGTTGAACCAGTGGGTCGGGTGGACCAATCGGCCAGCTGGCTCAGTGGACCGGGTGGACTAACCGGCCTGCTGGCTCAGTGGACCGGGTGGACTAACCGGCCTGCTTGTCCAGTTGACCGGGTGGACCAATCGGCGTGCTGTCCAGTGGACCGGGTGGACCAACCGGCCTGCTGGTCCAGTAAACCGGATGGACCAACCTGCCTGTTGGTCTAGTGGACCGGGAGGACCAACCGACCTATTTGTCCAGTAGACCGGCCGGACCAACCGACCATTTGGTCAAGTGGACCGGCCGGACCAACCAGCCAATCGGTCCAGTAGTCCGGTTGGACCAAACTGCCTGTTGGCAGTAGTGGGCCAACAGGCAGTAGTGGACCAGCGGCCTGTTGTCCGGTTGACCAGTAGTCCTGTTGACCAACAGGCTATTCCAATTGGACCAATTGGTCCGGTTGACCAACCGGCTGTCCAGTAGTCCGGTTGACCAACCAGCCTGTTGGTCCGGTGGACCGGGAGGACCAAGCGGCCTGCTGGTCCAGTGGACTGGGTGGACCAACCGGCCTGTTAACGAGCTCCTTTTGGCCAAGTTGCGGGCAATTGGCTATTCCGTGGCCAGGCTCATGGCAATAAAAGCAACGCCTGTCGCCGTCCCGACGCCAAGTCCAATGGCGTTCCCCTTAACCTCGGTTACGAGGGGCGGGATTCGAGCGAGATGAGGCTGTGGGCATATGCGGCCTCGTCTTGCTGGCCGCCACAATTTGAGTGGCCGCTTTAACGTTTATATCCTCCACCACCTTGCCATACATAATCTTTAAGGCCATATTGGCCACCTCGAAACCACGTTGATCCGCGGTGATTAAAAAATGAATCTTTTCTTCAGCCTCGTCAACTATCTACTAAAGGTAATCAACGAGTTGCTCGTCGCCGTGTGAAGGTACGATGGAAATAGCATGAAGTGCAATTGCTTGAATGCGTTCGAAACTAAAGAGTTGAGTGCAAATGCCGTCACTTTTCACGAGAGAAGAATGCAACTGAGGGCGTGGAGTAGGGATGGGGGCCAGGATAGGGGGTGCTGTAGTGGGCTTGGAACGAACGGTATTACCTTCGTCGAGATTCTCAGAGTTGACGTGGTCGCCGTCGTCCTCTCGTTCGGGATTAAGAGAAGGAGGAGGAGGAGGAGGAGGAGGAGGAGGAGGAGGAGGAGGAGGAGGAGGAGGAGGAGGAGTAGGGGGAGGAGGAGGGGCACGAGGGCGAGGTGCCATTGCTGCGACGGGGCGTACGGGATTAGCTGTTGCTGCATGGTCACCAGCGTTGCCTCGTTGGAGCGCCGCGAGAAGGCCGAACGTGTCGAATCGCCTCGTTATTATTTGCATTTGCTGCCGCTCCAATGTTGTTTCCAGTGTAACGTGCCGAGTTGTTTTCCATTGTATGGCGCTCTATCGAAGCACTCGAACTGTCTGTAACGAGATCCCCGCCAGTTTCGGTGGAGATTTATCAGAGGTTCTGCTGGCAGGCGGGGTCAACGCGAGCAATAATTTCGGCGATTTCCGAAATCACAGCTGCCTGATTGCGCATATCCTGATGGTCGCCTTGATTCGCCCGCCGATTTACAGAATCGGGCTGACGATTCTCGCGCGCAGAATCCTGCATCTAACGGTCGCGATCTGCACGTGCTGGATCCTGGTCGCGATTTGCGCTTGCAAAATCTAGATCGCGATCTACCCGAGCAGAATCGCGATGATTGCGGCATGAAGAAGCAAGACCGCCATCATTGCGCTCTGCTCGCGCAGGACCGCGATCGTTGCGGTCCTGCGCCTGGGGTGCCTAGATGTGACGCGTCGGCAGCTGCGCATGGGGAACGACCCGCTCGTTACCGCAGTTACCACAGTTTCGACAGCATCCTTCGGGACCGGGGGCAGAAATGGGCGCGCCATTTAACAGCTCCAGCGCAGTCAGGGTCCGGTTTCAACGAGGAGATCGTGAGCGTTCACGCTGGGATGAGGAATCGCGATCCTCATCCCTTCTCAGAGATCATCGCCTGCCTCTGCTGCGCTTAACCATTCTTGATGAGGGAGGACGGCCGGTTACGGCGGAAACAAAACCAGCAGCCATGGACGAAAAATCTAACATTGATTACATCTTCAACCAGTTTGCTCCTATGCCTTTCTCTAAGCATAGCAAGGGTTTAGAGAGTGTGTTGAAGCAAATTAAGATCTGACGATGAGAATGAGACTAGGTGGTGTTTACTACAATTAGAATCTAGAAACTCTTAAGCACACCTTTAATACACACTAGATAGTCCCCACGGGGTCACCTCCAAGGGTCCTCGGGTGCCTGGCAACGCCAGCCCCTAACCAAGGGTCCGTGTTTGTAGAGGGATTTCTCTAAGTGTAAAGACTATCGTGTGCACTAAAAGCATTCCCAAGCTCAATTGCGCAGCGTTGACAAACGGTAGGTGCGTGTGGAGATAAGCTCCTCGCGTCAATACGTCGATAGAGCAATTTTCATTCACGAAAAGATTTATTGACAACTTCACACAAGCACGCAATTTATATCAAAGCCTACACACACACAAAGGAAACACAAAACAGTTGTTTAACTAGGCTTCAGGACTTCGTCAGATGCTCCAAGGAAAACGGTTGTCGAACTGCTCTTAAATTTGGCTTAATTTGCCCCGTCAAAATAACTGTCTTCAAACTGCACTCCTGCCAGATTCCCTTGCTGACTCCCTTCGCGAACATTCATGATTTCTTACGCGCAATCATGAGCATTCGTGTGGGATTACGGTTATCACGAACGTTCACAGTTACAAAACGGTTTCTCACAGTTTTTCCCTGTATCAAAAATGTCTAGTTAGGCGCGCGACATTTCTGACGAAGTAACCTGTACGCCGAATCAACGCGGAAATCGGTTTTTCAACCGAAATCCCGAGCACCCCCTTGAATGCAATCATGCACGACCGATATTTCGGTCGTGCTGTACAGTGCACGGACGTGCGCTGTCCTGCGCGTGGGCTAGGCGTTCATTCGCCCTGTCTTGTTGCAATCGTGCCTACTTGTACCCTCACACCATAGCAAGCCACACGCTCGGGCCTGAGGACCCACGAGCGCGAATTCAGGACCACACGCGCGGTCAAGATTCTCGCGCGCTTGACCTTTGACCAGCACGAAAAATATCCTCGGTCAACTTCGTGAACACTCACGACACTTCATGAACACACAAGAAACAGGAAAACACAAAAGAACATGAACGTGCATAAGTATTCATGAACAACGCACGAACCTCACGGAAATTCACGAACACAGATATTCACGCACATTCATGACAGTTCTCGAAACGACACAAATGCACGTGAAGTCTCCCATTCACACACGAACTTTCACAAGCACTTACGAGCGCAACGTCACATTAAAATGCACATAACTCAAGCCGCTAAGGCGAATCACAGACCGTAAATGCCAAACTAAACAGCACACAAATGTGCATTCCACACAACACAAATTACCTTAAATCCAGTACCTTCAAATTCACCTTGCGACGAATAGGCCATAGGTTGACGTGCAAATTACAATTTGCACCCAACAGGTGGCAGGTTCATCGGACCTGTGAGAATGTGAAGGAGCTTGTCCCCTTTACAACAAACTCCTCTTCTAGTCGAATCACAATCCTCAAAATTTTTAAGTAAACTTAAAAAAATTACATATTGTATTACGTGATGATGACGGCATAGCCAGCCATCAAACGGCCTCACTCTATCTTTCGTTTTAGGCACATTGAAGCCTATTGTGATCATAACAGTATATTGCACCAGCAGGCCGATTGGCCCAGCTGTTCACTGGACCAAGAAACCGGTTGGTCCAATTGGTCCATTGGACCAACAGGCCAGTTGGTCAGCAGTTCCACTAGAACATCAGGCCGGTCGGTTCAGCCGGTCCATCAGACCAACATGCCAGTTGGTCCAGCCGGTCCATCGGACCAACAGTCCGGTTCGTCCACCCGGGCAACTAGACCAACATATAGTTGGTCCAACCGGTCCATTAGACCAACATGCTGGATGGTCCCACCTGGAACACTGGACCAACAGTCAGGTTCGTCCAGTCGGATCTTTGGACCATCAGGCCGGTTTGTCCACCCTGTCCAATGGATTTACAGGCCGATTGGCCCACTTGGTCGACTGGACGACCAGCCGGTTGGTCCAGCCGGTCCACTAGATCAACAGGCCGGTTGGACCAACCGATCCACTAGACCAACAAGCCGACTGGCCCACCCGGTCCACTGGGCAACAGCCCGGTTGATCCACCCAGTCCACTGGACCAACAGGCTAGTTGGTCCACCCAGTCAACTAAACAAGCACGACGGTTGGTCCTGTTGGTCCAAAGGGCCAACATGCAAGTTTGACCAGCTGGATCTTTGGACCAACAGGCCGGTTGGTCTAGACGGATCATTGGACCAACATGCCGGTTGGTCAACCTGGTCCACTGGACCAACACGCCGGTTGGAGCACTGTTAGAGATTAAGGACGGAGTCTATGGCGTTTAGGGGCCGAAATAACACAAAATCGTTGGTCTCAATTTCTGGACAGAATCGTCGACTTCACAAGATTTGCCGTCGACAAAAAAACGCACCGTTGACACTTCACCAATTTCGGTTATGTTGTGGCTACATTTCCCAATTTGAATCGTTTGAAAAGGTGAAGTTATCTGGAGTTATCAATTTCGGCGCACTAGGGGGTATGCTGCCATAGAAACTTTAACTCAATCACAAGAGTCTCACAAGTGCCACAAGTTACACACAAGAAAGTTAGAGTAGCAATAAACGAGGTAGGAGGGAAGAGGAGGACGCGAGGTGTCAGAATGAACAGGCAGGAATGGGGAACTAGAAAGGATGGTGAGTACAAATATGAAACCCTAATGTTGTGACCCCCCTATAGGCTAACCCACTACAGCCTACACAAACACAACATATATAATGTTTGACACACCCCCATAGGCAAAGTGGGGGAGACCTAGGGGTCACAAGACCAGTCAAGGCAAAGCAAGGCAACAACAAGCTCAGGGTGGATCTCAAGGATACCACACAAATTCCGAGCACAAGCTAGTGGTCACAAGACCAGTTCACATGCAAGTTTATAACAGAGCAAGAGATACAGTGATCACAACCTAGCAACAGTAAACATGCAGGTAGATATATATATAGTGATCACAGTACAAGCAAGGTCAAGAGGTAAGTAAGTGAGGTCCAGTAGGCACAAGGCCTAGCAGAGTGCAGAAGCGCTGATGGTCACAAGGCGGAAGCGCCTTGGTGAACACATCAGCAAGGTTGGCCTCAGTGGCCACGTAACGCAGACAAAGCTGACCGCGCTGCTGCAGCTCTCGAGCAAGGAAGTACCGCAGGGCGATGTGCTTCGTTCTGTGCTCCAGTCTGTGCTCCTCACACAAGGCAATGGCAGCCTGGTTGTCGACGTACAGCACTGGAGGAGAACGAGGCTGCTCACCCAAGTCGGTCAGCAGGTAAGTCAGCCAGCGTAGCTCCTGGGCAGCCATGGCTGTGGCGTAGATCTCAGCCTCACAACCGGAGCTGAGAACAGAAGACGAGCGTGTAGAACGCCAAGAAACTGAGCCGGAGCCAAGGCTGAAGGTGTAACCCTGAGACGACCGCTGAGTAGCCTGGTCGTCCGCCCAAGAAGCGTCTGAGTGTCCAGTAAGTACAACTCGGTCTCGCCCTCCAAGCACTAGCCCCATGCCCGACGTACTGCACAAGTAGCGCAACACCCTCTTAGCGGCATCCATGTGCTCCTTCCTGTGACGGCCAGGAGCGACATAGCGTGCAAGGATGCTAAGAGGGTATGCAAGGTCAGGTAGAGTGCAGGTCATCAGGTACATGAGGCAGCCCACAAGCTCTGGATACGGGCCACTTGGCTCTACGGACTCATCCGAAGGCAGAGCTGAGAGCGAGTGACCGGTAGGCAGAGGAGTGGACTGAGGCGAGGAGTACGTGAAGCGGAAGCGCTGAAGGATCTGCTGCACCATGTGTGACTGAGTCAAGGTGATGGTGCGCCGTGCTCTGTCCCGGGTGATCCGCAAGCCAAGATAGCTTGTCAGTTCACCCAGGTCTGTGCACGTGTGTCTCCTCTGCAGCTCCGACTTCACGTGGGCGAGTGCCGCGGTGTCAGCAGTGGCAAAGACCAAGTCGTCGACGTACACGAGGATGTAGAAGGGCGGCAGTGAGGTGTCTGTGCGTAGAAACAGTGACGGGTCAGCAGTAGAGGGAGCGAACCCAAGAAAAGCAAGTGTCGTCCCCAGTGTGTCGTGCCACTCACGCGGTGCCTGGCGGAGACCGTAGACTGGCCGCTGAAGCCTCCACTGGGTACCAGGAGGAACCGACCCAGTGAAGCCAGGAGGGCGGCGCAGCCAGATCTCCTCGTGCAGGCTGCCCTGCAAGAAAGCAGTGCTGAAGTCAAGTGAGTGAAGCTCGTAGTCGCGCTGAGCGGCTATGTGCAGCAGCACCCGAAGAGTGGTCATCTTCGGGGTGGGGGAGAAGGTCTGAAAGAAGTCAACTCCCTCTCGCTGACTGAAGCCTCGAGCCACGTAGCGCGCCTTGAAGACAGGAGGAGAACCCGGTGGCCGCTTCACCCTGAAAATTCACATGCCACTGACGATGTTCGCCCCAGGTGGGGGAACCTCGTCGACGTAGGTGCGTGTGGACTTCCAGGAAGCCATCTCTGCGTCCATGGCTGTCTGCCACTGAGAGGAGTAGGGACCCGCCATCGCCTCAGCGTAAGTGCGCGGGGTCGGGATGTCTGGTGCATCCGGGTCTCCCTCAGGGGCAACTAGCATGGACACGAGGTGGGGTAAAGCAGCAGCAAAGCACTGGAACTCCTCCTGTCTGTCCTCAAGGACGTCCGTGCCAAGAGCACACTCACCCCCGACGGACGGAGGACAGACAGACTCAGACTCAGCAACAAGGCTAGTGGCGTAGTCTAGACGACAGCGGGCAGCAAAGTCTATCAACTCAGCGACTAGAGCAGACGCAGCAGAGGACTCAAAGGTAGGGTCAG